AAAAATGACAGGCAGGGCGCATTCGTTTTCTTTTTCTCTCTCACACTGTTTGCCTCTAAATGGAAGGCAGGGCTCTTTCTCCAAGCCTTTGAGCTGAGGCTGTTTGAGTCAACTGCTGAAGGCAAACGTAACTGAACTCTCTACAAAAGAAAGGATCACAATCGGATCGTCTCCTTCCGAGGAAAAGTTTGAGAAAATCAAGTACTGTATAATCTTAGAATAAAATATAGCATTAGCATTCTAGCATAACTGCCCGTTATTCTTCAAATAGAAATATGTTCAGTTTTTTAAATGTTTGGTCAACTCATCACCTTAGTTTAGCACCATTCAAAGAGCACGCAGTTCTGCTTGTAATTTTCAATCCCTGAAGGCCCCCAAATTCAAATATACCAATTTTCTTTTGAAAAATACCTTATTTGTATAAATAGTTAAAATTTTTATTTCCAAATTTCTGACTTGCATGTTTCCCTACAAGAGGAAATTCAATTAATAATTAAAAGTTTACTTAACCGTGATCAAGCAAAAACAAAATGTAATGGGTAATCTGGCTATTCTTCTGGTGCTTACACATGCGCATTTTTTAAAAACTAGCACAGTAATTGCTAAAACTTGACTCATTTTTTTTAACGATACAGGGAACTTTCAGACTCAAGTTTAAACATACATATTTTATAGTAACTAAAAACACCCTGCCTCTGCTTTACCATCTAAGGTCTTCTAAAATGTTCCTAATGTAGTGATGATGAAGGTAAAGCCCAGAGAAGTCTGAAGGTTATAGACATCCAGACACACACAACAAAAATTTCAAGTCACACCCTGAATGCCCTCCTCTTTGTAGGAATGCCTGCAGCCAGCTCAACATCACAGGTCTGGGCAGAAGCATGCTGATGTTGGCACTGCCTAAACCAAACAAACAAGATGTTTAACAGTCAAATAAAATGTCCTGCAGCCTCCCTAATGAATTTGTCAAGGACCATCAGAGTTCGCTCCCCCTCTTTTGCCTCATTAACTCAAGTATGATGAGACGGATTATAACAAGAGAATACAGATCAATCGGTCTGAAGACTTGAAGTGGCTTTTAGCCTCTAGAGTTTCTTTCTCTCACTTGGTCTCCTTTAATAGAATACGCTATCTCCTGCAGAAGGGGCTGCCACTTCGTTTTAATACACCATCAAGGAGCTGCTGATGGACTTCTATACTAACATACATAAAAGCAGAGGTGACAGGGGCTCTTCAATTACAGCCTCCTCCGATACCGTTTCCCCCTTCAATTATTCAACCAGAGGAAGAAGGATCCGCAAAGACACAGCAGCAGCAGCTCTGAGAGCAGAGGAGCCAGAGTGAGCTGGGATGGGGGAGGGGGAGAGGGAACTAGCAAGAGGGAGCATTATTTGCTGAAAGTGTTTAAGTTTATTGCTCGAATGATGTTTCTAATTAGTACCGCGGCAATAAATTAAAGTCGCCTTTGTTTAACTGATTTATTATTTACTAGAGCATCTACCTTAGACAGGGTAAATTGGTAATGAATTGTTTTTAAATCAAAACATTTGTAACGTTTTATCATCCCTCAACCTCTGCTGTAAAAATGGAGAAACGCGGGGAGAAGGGTGCAACGAAACTTAGTTGTGCTTGACAGAGCGGAGAGGAGAGGAGGAGTGGGGTGTCTGGTCACGGGTGGCGAGAAGATCGGCGTGGCCTGGGCAGCCCCAACCCAGTGGAGAAGGCGTGGACCAGGTCGCTTGGTGCTGACCCGGGGACCAGACCGGCAGGCGGCCGCACCGGAGTCCTGAGCATGGACCCCTGCGGTCACCCCCGGGCCTTTCTGCACGCACTCCCTCCCAGGGGCGTCTCTGGCCGCACCAGCCCAAGAGCCCCATGAGCAAGGCCGCTGGCGGAGCCGCGGAAAGAAGCGGCCGCTTCGGGGGCTGGGGACCAAACGCTCCGCACCCTCTGGCCCTGCCACGAGTCTCCGCCCAGTCACCGCCCTGGGGAGAAGCTGCCAGGGACCTTTTCCAGGCTGGTCACACAACTCCCTGCACCAGAGCGCCTGTCCTGCCCAGTCATATTTCCCGGGGCTCCGGCGTGACCCATGAGCAATAGCCGGGTTACCGACAGAGCGTGGGCTCCCCGCACGCACGGAACCCTGAGGACGCCGCGGATCGCACGCCCCGGCAGCCAAGCATTCCCCCACGAAGGCAGGCGGGGATCCAGAGGCCGCCCCAAGTCTCTGCCACTCCCAAGAAGTTGACTGGAATCTCTGCATCGAGTTTGGAGTCTGCTTACTTCCAACTATTCTTCCCAACTCCCCGCCACTGAAGGCAGATTCTAGGAATATATCCGACTTGACTTAAAAAAAAAAAAAAAGAAAAGAAAAGAAAGAAAGAAAAAAGGCCTAATAGTGCTTTATAAAGGGTATTAGGGCAATGAGAGCGAATGGGTGACAAGGTGCCAGCCGACCCCACCAGCCAAGTAAGAAAGGACTAGGAGGTCCAGGGGTTCAACATCAAGGAGGAGGAGAGAAATGAACTTCATTTACGCAATGAATGCAGGTTCACCTGGTCCAGTTTTAAGACAGCAAGTCAAGCCCTCCCATGGGGTTTTGCCGAAGTGGCATCCCAGGTTCTACAGAACAAAGTCCTCCCCACGGGGCTTCGTAGAGTTTTATTCTTACAGCATCATCAAAAAATACAACGCCCCAAATTTAACTAAAAATTCTCCCGTCCATTTGACTTGTCTTAAAAAGACACAAAAACCATGCAGACACCCAAAGTTCAAACATAAACCCTCCATACTAAGCAAATCACAAACACTGTTAGAGATTTTTCATCCAAAAGTACCAAAAAGCTACACTGGGTCCAATACGTACACTAAAAGCACACGTATGTGTTTTTTCCCTGAAATGCCAAGGGAGGAGTGAAGCCATCTGTGTAATCAATAACAGGATAGTTATGGATTTTTGCAGCAGTGAAGTCTTTTAAAAGCAAAAGTCAATTAGGAAAATAAAATAATTTTACAAGTGAAACTGAACTGCTTGACAATATATTCAAAAATTAGATTTACAACACTGACATTTTAAAAAAACTTTAACTCAGGTTCAAATTTACTTCCCCTCATTTTTAAGTTTAAAACAGTTTTTAGTGGCTTAGTTTAATTTAAACATATATACAACAAATTTTACCATCTATAAATTTGCACCATCTCTCAAAACTGAAACATATTTTCTAGTAACTACTTAGTCCTTGTAACAATAAATAGCATTAAATATTATCTGAATCTTAATTATGAATAATTATCAAGCAAGGTGCTTGCACTACCTTTTGTCCTGCCCCATTTTTCAACAACATGAAAATAACTGAAAAGAGACTTATAGTCATAAACCCTCACTCCATCTTCACGCCCTCCCCCCAACTGCTACATATAGACAGCAATCGTTCTGGCTCTGGGCAATGATGCGGGGGGGCGGGGGGGGGGACTTTGTGGGAGAAGAAAATATAGAAAATGTTAGGTTCTTTCCCAAATTCAAGCTAAAGTAATTTTGTTAGAGTTTGCATCTTCTTCACAATGTTGATAGAAAAAAAAAAGTGAACCTGTCTGAACCACTGCTACTCTCCCTCGCATTATTCCAGTGTCTCCAGGACATCTTCCCTATACAGACTCTTTTTTTCCCCTTCAACTGATGAGAGGAGGATAGAGAAGAGAGGGCTGTAAAATGTGTGTATTTGACTTCTACTATCTCCTCCTATTTTCTTACTTCTCTCTTTACCCCCTTTCTTTATCAAGCGCAGCGGTGGCTGCTACCGTGGGCCAAGCACGCCTGTCTTCTCTCCCGGATTGGCTGAAGCAGTGACAGCTTGGATAGCGATTGTAGGAACTGAAGCTCCACCCCCCTCATGATGGCCCTGGACCATTCATAAACTAAATAACTCCAGGAAACGGCAGGGCAGAGAGAGAGAGAGAGAGAGAGAGAGAGAGAGAGAGAGAGAGAGAGAGAGGTGAGGGGTGAGGGGTGAGAAAGGGGAGAGAGAGAGCGAGAAAGAGGGGAGACAAAAAGGAGGGCGAGAGAAAAACAGGGAGGAGGGAAGGAGACAGAGGGAAAAGAGAGAGGGAGGGGAGAGAGATTAGAAGGGGAGAGGGAAGAGAGCGAGACATCCGAGGGGAGGAGGGAGAGACACTCAGAAAGTGGAATCTGCACAAGCAACCTAAAGGGGGAGAAGAAAAATCCTAGAATCATTATAACTAAACCCCAGATGCAACGCAAGCAACGACTTCGTCACACTAAAATAGATTTTGTGAAGGCCAAAATTATAAATTACGAAGCAGAAATGAATATCAAACAACTTCCAGCGGTTTGCACCTAAAGACAAGAAGAACCCACTGCAAACAAACAAGCCCAGTCCGAACAACGCCTCCAGTAGGAAAAGAGGAATACCGCTACAACACGACCCCCTGAGAGGTGACCAGACCGACACGCTGAGAGGGCCGGGCATCTGCAAACCTCCGAGGGTGTCACAGACTGAGGTGCACTTCGCTGCTCTCTGGACATTAATTACATCTTTCACCTTCCACTTGGGGGAGGGCGAGGAGAAGGCACTCACCTAAGCTGAGTGAAGAAGTCCTACCAGCGTGGGAGAGAAGTTTAAGAATGAAACACTGAATGTTTCGCTTTTATTTTTAAATTTACTTGGGCACTTAAAAGACCTCATTTCCAGATTTCTGGGCAATCCCGGCTGCAGACATCTTAGCCTAACCTCTTGGTAACCTGAATTTTTCTCTCACCTTCTCTCTTTTCCTCCTCCCCTTTATCTCTCCAGCAAGCACATCTTTATTTTACATAACAAGGGAAAGCAAAAACAGTCTTAGCAGCTACTTTTCTTTTTCAAAGATCACCTTTTTTTCTTATTTCCTGGAGAAGAAAGGGGGGTTTCGGAAAGAGGAGAGAAAGATCAGGCCGGCTGTAGCCTCGGCGGGTCAGCCCAGGTGGAAAACAAGAGTGAAAGTGGGGCTTAGGGGGAGCGCATCGCCTCTTTTGCAAGCCGCAGGGCCACCACCAGCGCGTGAGCCTTGGATCCCTCAACGTATTGCGAGACGCCGGTGTATAGCCCGGACCTGTGCCCCAACATGATCGCCGCTCAGGCCAAGCTGGTTTACCAGCTCAATAAATACTACACGGAGCGCTGCCAAGCGCGCAAGGCGGCCATCGCCAAGACCATCCGAGAGGTCTGTAAGGTGGTCTCGGACGTGCTCAAGGAAGTGGAGGTGCAGGAGCCTCGCTTCATCAGCTCCCTGAGTGAGATCGATGCCCGCTACGAGGGGCTGGAGGTCATCTCGCCCACAGAATTCGAGGTGGTGCTCTACCTAAACCAAATGGGCGTCTTCAACTTCGTGGACGACGGCTCCCTGCCCGGCTGCGCGGTGCTCAAACTGAGCGATGGTCGGAAGCGGAGCATGTCTCTCTGGGTAGAGTTCATCACGGCGTCCGGCTACCTCTCCGCGCGCAAGATCCGTTCACGTTTCCAGACGCTGGTGGCTCAGGCAGTGGACAAGTGCAGCTACCGGGATGTGGTCAAGATGATCGCGGACACCAGCGAGGTCAAGTTGCGCATCAGGGAGCGCTACGTGGTGCAAATCACCCCGGCGTTCAAGTGCACCGGTATCTGGCCTCGCAGTGCGGCACAGTGGCCTATGCCTCACATCCCCTGGCCTGGCCCCAATCGGGTGGCCGAGGTCAAGGCCGAAGGGTTCAACTTGCTCTCCAAGGAGTGCTACTCGCTGACCGGGAAGCAGAGCTCCGCGGAGAGCGACGCCTGGGTGCTACAGTTCGGGGAGGCTGAGAACCGCCTGCTGATGGGCGGCTGCCGAAACAAGTGTCTGTCGGTGCTGAAGACGCTGCGGGACCGCCACCTGGAGCTGCCAGGACAGCCGCTCAACAACTACCACATGAAGACGCTGCTGCTGTACGAGTGCGAGAAACACCCGCGGGAAACGGACTGGGACGAGGCATGCCTGGGCGACCGGCTCAATGGCATTCTGCTGCAGCTCATCTCCTGCCTGCAGTGTCGCCGCTGCCCCCACTACTTTCTGCCCAACCTCGACCTCTTCCAGGGCAAGCCCCATTCGGCCCTGGAGAGCGCTGCCAAGCAGACCTGGAGGTTGGCCAGGGAAATTCTCACCAATCCCAAAAGCCTGGACAAACTATAGGGTGCTGGGGACTGCTTGAAAAGCGACACAAACGGGAATGCTCTCAGCCACCCAACACCCACACGACAAACAGCGGAAACTCCGGACACAAACTTTTCTGTCAGCCACCTGAAAGCAGCCACCACCCAAAGCAGCAGACCTTCGTGAATTCACGAGCCAACAAAAGAGAGCAACCCAAGCAACAAACCAAGCCACACGAAATCACATTCTTGCACAAAAGTGATCGTTTTCTTCCAAACAATGTGAATTTAAAAGGTCACACAAAAGAAGCAATCGGGCTTTGCCACCACAAAATGAAACCTAAGGTACATTTTCAAATCAATGTATAGTAGTTTCCTCCCTTTTTCTTTCTCTCCTTTTCTCTCCTTTCTCCTCTTTCTCCCTCTCTCCCCCGCCCTTTTCTCTCTGCCTCATTTCATTTTGTTTTGGGTTGCCTGAATGTTGTCACCAAGTGAGGAAAAAAAAAGTATTTAATTATATGTAAAATTTCTCTTTAAAGAAAAGTTTTTGCTGATGTTAAATGTATCTCAGTGCCAATGTCAGATTGTGCTCGTCCCTCTTGCACCTCTCCCCCTGCCCTAAGCAGTCTTGTTGAAAACAGTAATAAAAATATTACTTTATGTTGTAATTGACTGTTTGTGGATTGTTCTTAAATGAAGGCAGGTGAGATCACATTGACAATTTACAATGTAAAGATGTGAATTTGAGGCGCTAAATACAAGAAGCTGCCATATGAACTATAATTTGCAAAATTTACAAATACAGCACACTTTGTAGATTTAACCAAATTCCCACCAAAATCCTTAGAAAAGAAAAAATTTAATTTTACCCAACTATGTATGTTTGTTCTGTAGATTTTAAGATTAAAAGTGATACCCTCTTCCACATTTGAAAAAAAGAACAAATTTTATATGGAAGAACAGATTTTGATCCTAATTTTTAAAACAGAAAAAAATAGTTCACCTTAAAAATTAAGAGATTTGCTCTTTATGCCATAACTTCAAAATATCCACTCTTAAGTCTGAAATGCAAAGGAAATATTTATGGATCTTTTCTGAATAGTTAACAATCAGTTGACACTTTTCCTTCAATCATTTGTTCCCTTCAAGTTTTAAATAATAAAAACTTAACAGTTAAATCAACCACACTGAAAAAGAATAAAATGGTTATAGCAATATTACTCTTCTAGCAAATGGCTGATGTGAACAATCCAGACTTATGAATTACCTCGATTTTTTAAATGGCTTACTTATAAATGCCAAAACCATGGTTATTTAAAAAAAAAAAAAAGTTTCCAGAATTTCTCAGAATTATTCTGAAGCTTCTTATAGGCAATTTAAACAAAAGAGGTTTTGATACAATTTTAATGACTGAAGAAATATTTCCAAGAATTTACACTTAGGAAAAGTACGCTCCTACTCTTTCTGCCTTCCTACGGTAACAGTCCAATGTACTCATTACATTTAAACTTTAAGAAAGGTTTCTTTTTAATACAAGGAAATAACTGATCAGAAAATAAAATAATTTGTAAAACTGACAGTGTCCCAAAGGAACTGGTTTGTCTTCCTCACATGGCAGGCCACTCGGTACACTCCATTAGATAGATGTGCTCATGGTGAGGCACAGGTACGGAATGCATGTCAGCTGTGACCCTTTAATATAGAGAGTGTATTCTTTAAATTAGCCCTGTTTTTTACGTATTCAGAAAGCCCATGAATGAGAGATATAAAGAAAATTGTTTAAAAAAGCAATTTTAAAACTGAGAGGAAGAGTGGGGGAGGATGAGCAGCAGGACACCAGAGAGAGACGGAAACAAGAAGGCACTCAGGCTCTGTCTCCTGGCTCACTTGACAAAACAGGCTTAAGGCATACGGTTCCCTGGTGAAAATTCCCTCGTAAAAATAGTTCTGGGTTAGAAATATAAACTTTGATCTTACCAGTTCTGAAATCATCTCCACTCTTTCGACCTATGTTCTATTTTTTCTGGTCTCTCTTCCTGTACATGTAGAACAAACTCACTGTAATACTAAGTGGTTCAGACAAATACACTAGTTTTTTAATAATAAAAATGAATTTATTCTCTGTGGAAAATGTTCTCATTTTTAAGAACATTTTCAAAGCAAGTAATATGTGCTCACATTTACAAAGAAATAACTTAAGGTTGCTGTATAGTTTAAAAGATAAAAGTGGTATCTTAACATGACCATTTTTTCACTCTCAAAAGTATTTACAGCTTTAGACACCTATCTGCTTCCAGTTATCATGGGAAAAAAGTTTTTAACTCTTGACAAGAAGAAACGAAAATTCCCCAAATTCAGTATCTTTTTTTCCCCCTCATTTAATTTACTGCAACTAAAAAAGAAAAATACTGCAGCAACACAAGTGTCCTCATTACAAAATGCCATAAGGCACCCATGTCTATACAAAAATCAAAAATTCTTCCAAAAACAGGCTGAAAGACTTCTTAAATATAAATTAGCAGAAGTTTTGATTTTTGTAATATTAGGCAGGTTGGGGTGGTACAAAACAATTTCTGTGATTAGGGTAAAAGATCCCTGTACTGCACAGGCAACAAGGGGAAAAAATTACTTTAATGATGCTGCACAGAATAAGATCAGAGAGAAATAAAAGTTGTAACTTCCCCCAAAGGAGTAAATAACTTTAAAAATCCTAATTCCAAAGACTGGCAAAGATTCTAATATTGGGCACAATTACTTAGACACCTTTAAATCACAATTTAGAATTTAAGTCATGTATGCCCAAAAGCATAGAATACTGTGAGTTAAATTTCAGCCTCTCAAACTCACAAATTACCATAAATTAGAGAATGTAAATAATTTGGTTACCTTTCTTTCCTAAAGAAACTAAAATACATTTTCAGACATTTTCAGCTCTTCAACAAAATAAAATTTTTTCCTAAGTGATGCAAAATCTGAATTACAGTTTTCTCTATATTGGATTAGCTAGATTATCAAGGTCAAAATAACCTGTTTCATTGTAGCCTTCCTTTCATACAGTCTACCAAATCCTATCTTAATAAAGGCAGCAATTTTGAGACATTGTGCTAGAAACGCACGTAACACAAGAGAACATTGTAAAGTTTTCAGTAAAATTATAACATTTTCATCAAGAGCTACTTTGAAATACTTCTAAATCACTAAAATTTAATAATTCACATGATTACAAAACCAAAGAACCTCTCACCAATAAATTCAGAATGTGTATATGTGTGTGTATGCATGCAGTATGTACACACACATCCCCCCACACACACAGGCTATCAGTCTGTAAAATAAAGTATTCCAATTTTTTAAACCACTTCTCTTTCTTCAGGATACTTATTTTGCTTCTTTTAAAGAAACTATTTCCTCTCAGAACAAATTCAGCCATTCGCTTTCATTAAATAAACCTAATTTTGGCTTTATGGCTGTGCTACAAATGTTTCTTAGCAAAATAAAGTTGCCACGGTCTGAAAAGTAATCAAAAATACATTTTAAAGGGGAAATTACATTTTCATTTAAGAATAGGAAATCATGCAGTGCCTTGTAAAATCAACTACAGGTAATGGGAACCAGAGGTGTCTCTCACACACGAGAGACATGCATGCACGACAGAGCAGCAAGTCATGAGGACAAAGCAAGGAGAGTGATATATTGGTATTATATCCAGAAAATATAAAGGCTAAACAAAATAATTTCTCTCTCAGTCTCACTGAATTTTGTAGCTTAATGTACCCTGGACCCTTTGATGTAAAATATATTTATAGAAGATACTCCCTGTGGTTCACCCCCACCCTTGAATGAGCTAATGATAAAAGCAATTAAGTGGGAATTGTTTGGAATCTAAATGAACTTCAATAATCTAACTAGCTGGTAAGGGAACCATAAGCTCAAGAAAATAGTTGTCTCGTATACAGGCAGAGGAAAATCAGCAAGAAATGCAAACTAAGTCTGTCAGATTTTACCAATGCCAATCCTACTTAATAGCAGTGCACCATCCCATCCAAGAAAAATAAAATTCCATAAAAATGAAACCCGCTCCTCATCGTCTCACCTTGGGGTCGATATTCTTGAAGTTGGGGTCCTCTTCATCCACCTCGAAATAGAGTTCGGAGGAGGTGACAGAAAGAACGCCCTTCGCTACAACAGAGGGGGCCACGAGCTGAGCTGGTGTGCTCAGGCTAACAGGACCTGCCAAAGGGAAAAGGCAAGCTGCACAAGCTGGAATGACATTTTTCAAAAATTCAAATAGATTCAAGAAGAAATTTTATTTAATTTTACAATTCTCACCTCTAGCACCAAATTGCCTGCCAACTCCTATGCTTACAAATTTTGTCCCCCCAAAGAAACTTCCTCCGAAGATGCAAAGTTAGAATTCTCATACTAAGAGATTTATAATAGGCGATTAATTATAACAGTAAACTAGGATGCAATTATTTTACAGGGAGTCTGCAAAGGTTTGGTCTAATCTCCTGGTAAAACGGCAGCTCTGCCTAAATAAGTCCATCCACATTCCATTTAGAAAACAAGCCTCAGGCTATCAAACAACATGGAACAACAACCAGGAGCAAGGAGGCCTCAATAGGCTCCCAAGGCCAGAGGTTAGCTTAGAGTTTGGCTGAGGCATGATTACAAAAAGATCACTAGCTTATTAGCAAAGTGAGAAACATTGCACCATATTCTCTGGTAAAGATTTTGTGCCAGGTTGACATAAAACCTCTTCCATAACAACTTTCCCCATGAAAGACTGGTAAAAATACTTATTTCCTAAGCCTGCCTTTCCACTGTTAAATATTGTTCAGTGCTTCCAAATCTAATATTAGTGTAGTTCAGGGACTCTGGGAGTAAACAGCTGGAGGGTGGGTTTCCAAGTGAATGAATTTTTATTGGAATAATCAAATCTCCACAGAGCTTATCAAAGAGACAAATCAGCCTGCTACTGAAAACAATAGATTCAATACAGAGAGAAGAGCACAAAGTGTATTAGAGCTAAACCTAAAATAAGGACTAAAAATAATGATTGTATTATATATACATATATATTTATGTAGAGATTGATGCAGTAAGAATTTGATATCCCACGTCAGTTTCTCCTTGCACAAATCTCTAGGTGAAGAAAACAGCAGGAGAAGATTGGCACTTAGAGGGCTGAATTAATATAGTGCCCACAAACACGGCTCACCTATTCAGGTAATCAATGGGTGAATAAG